AGGACATGCACAGCCAGGCTGTCTCCTGGAGATGTAGTGTCCCTAGGGAGTGGAAGCCTGTAACCTAAGATCTTTGTGAAACCACAGCTTTGTTTACCCAGTTTGTCTCTGTTATTCCACTATTGTGTTTGAAAGAACTATCTCACTCAGCCTGCGTGTGTGTGTGTGTGTGTGTGTGTGTGTGTGTGTGTGTGTGTCCTGTGAGAACCAAGGGGCAGGGAGACTGACATTTGGAGGATGGAGTTTCATGTGAAAATGAAACTCAGAATCTTTCCAGTCCATCTGGTTTCTGTAATCTGGCAACAGTGATAGCGCTACATGGGCCCACTGGGTGGCCACCCTGCAACACAAAGACTTTGAGGAGGTAGTTTAAGGGGTGCCAGGACTGGTCTGGAATGGTCTCTTGATAAAAGTTTGATATAAAGCTCTTTCTTATGCATATGAGTGTCCACAGTTACAACCCAGCCTAACATAGGTCCCCCCACCTTGGTGCCAGGTGAGGGTGAAAAGGAGTGTCTGATTGGCTGCTCTTGGACAAAGGAGCATCACAAGGAAGGTCTGAAAAGGCAGTCAGCACTTCCCTGACACCGAGCCAATGCTTTGTTTCTCTAGGTCTGTGGATTTGGGTGGGTGTAAATCCATTTATAATAAAAGTATCATGTTAAATTTGTTTAACACAGAGTGTTTACAAGGCAAATCATGTTTAACACAGAGTGTTTACAAGGCACAAAGCACACACATATTCTCTCCGCACCAAAGGCGGCCAACACTTACATTTTTAACATGTTAGGAAACTTAGCAGACTCATAGTCACAATTGATGTAACAACGTAATATGATACTAAGAGCTTTATATTCATGGGGAAGGAATGACATGCATGTTCCTGAGAGGAAATTACTATACTTGTTTATTTAACAGCAGACTGGGGTAGCATCAATGAGTATGACATATATATATATATTTTAAAATAAAAAATTCTTATCTACTGAGGCCAGGTGTCTAAAAGTTTCCATCATCACGTGTTTATAGAGTTTCCTCTAAGAAAGGACCAGCAGTGCCCATTCTTCCTCGGAGAAGTCCACAGCCACCTCTTCAACAGACACAGTGTCCTACAACACCCCATGTATTCTGGTTCGGCAAGGTACCGTGCACTGCACTGTGTGAACGGATGAAGAGGACAGTCCTGGAAACGGGGACTTCACACGGGGATTGGACACAGGGCTCTTGTTCTACTAAGGATCACCGTCAGGGCTTAGCTGCCAGCCTCATCCCTTCACCCACTAGACTCACTTCCTCACTAATTACGTGCTATCCCAACGACTGCATGCTTCTAGCATAATGAGCTTATCTCTGGACAGTTTGTCTGTGACCAACTGCAACCTTAGTCCTCTATCTCTATGGTTCAGAACAGAGAACAGTCAGAACACATAACAGGAATCAGATAAACGGTAAAAAATAAAAGCCTTGGTTCCACAGTCACATCCTCTCTTCCACTGGAGGGAGGGGAGAAATTCACCTCCTTGCACAGGACCAACCAGAACATTTACCAGCACAGGAAGCACAGGGTGAAAGCAAGATAACAACTAGGAAACACTGCAGAATTTGTGTTCCTACCTGTAGCCCCTCCTTAGCCAGTGGAGAGCTGCAGGTATGAACTAACAGAGTAGCAACCCAAGCCCTGGTATTCTCTTGGAGAATTCTAGGTCAAGAGCTGAAACATTACCTACTGAAAGATTATTATTTGGGGGAAATATGAAAATTTCTGTAGTATCTACGTTCTTTCAGTCACTCTGTGGTTGCACTATTGTGTATTTTTTTAGCTTCATGGAGTATTGAAAAGGGAAACAGGGCAAAGGTGAAAGATAGGTAACAATAGAATACAGATATCATATAGATGTCATCAAAATTGTCCCACTCTGTGGCATGAACCTATTGTAATGTAATTATTATAGACGGCTCCCTTCAAAAAAGACTTGGATACTCACATAAATATACACTAAAGTTATATGTTGACAAAAATCACAATATGTTAAGTACCATAATAGTATGCTCTTCTGTTTGCTGACTGGGAACATGTTTAGATTCCATTTTATTGAGGGCTCATCACAATCCTTACATCCATCGATCTTGTCAAGCACATTTGTACATTTGTTGCCATCATCATTCTTAAAACATTTGCTTTTAAACACTCCCTCAATGCAAGAATACTTTCTTCTATTAAAATGGCATTCTATGATGCTCACCTTCCCGACACAACTGCTGAAGACAAAGCAGGTGATAAGCAAATGTGGTGAAGAAAGCAGATGGTGCCCGGTTATCAAAAGATATAGCGTCTGGGGTCTTAAAAGCTTGAAGGTAAACAAGTGGCCATCTGGCTCAGAAGCAACAAAAGCCACATGAAAAAACATATCAGCCTGTGTGATCACGAGGCATCGAAGGGATCACTGAAGACAAATGGGTGCATAAGCAAATGTGGCGAAGAAAGCTGATGGTGCCCGGCTAT